TCAGGTAGCTTTACCGAACGGGTTAAGTGGGCAGGCGCAATGGGCAAGATCACATGTGGCGCAGCAAAACATAACAGTAGTTACAAGTATGTCAATATCGTAGCTTTGTGTTCTCTTGGGTCTTTTTTTTTGGCTTCAGATTCACGGATAGATTAATCGAGGGTCTACACTGTCGCAACGTATAAATCCCAGCAAAAATCATTTTCCGGGACGTTGACTTCAATGCAATCAGGCTCAGCCGCATCTATGCCTTGAGAAACGATCGTCTTAGGTTAGGCTCAGCATGGAATAAGGTCCTTCGGTCGCGAAATCCTTCGCCGTAGTCGGACTGTAGAATTCCGAAAAGAATAGTGCACCTTATGCCCGCAAAAGTTAAAGTGATCGCAAGCAGTGATTGAATGTAGACACAGCACACTGTGTAATGCGAACTGACCTTCCAATCCACACTACCAATTTTCACACTTGGCAGTATCTGTCTGCTGTATTTTACCTATGGAAAAAATAAGATGAGAATGGTAGTGTAGGAAACGATGCATACAGCAGAGCCGCCGTCAAAAATTTATGACCAGACTTGGAGGAGGAGCCAGCGCTAGAGAATATCTCCAATTTTTATGCCACGGAACTCACTAGTAGATAGCTTTTTATCCTACTGCTTGTAGTCGCTTTTCATAGTCGCTATTTAATAAACTTTATATCCTCTTACAGCGTTTGGTTTATTCGGCCAAATATCCGGACCTAGGCGATGATTTTAGCTTAAGAGTACAGTAATTATTGAAGCTGGGGAAGTCTACGAAACGCGACTAATTTTATGACAGTAGTCAATTTTTTTCAGGTTTCTCAGTTCCAAGCCGAGAGGTACCATATTGGATGGTATGGATGTATTCATTTTTTGACAAAGAAATCGCATCAGGTCTGTATCGCATAGGTGACACAGTACGCTTCGATAATTCTAAGGTTTGTTGATTACCATTAGTGATGAACGTTACTCTAACAATGCATGTTCAAGGCAACGCGTCTTCTCGGTATGCAATTTCGTGATCCTACAGAAAGTTTCATTGAGATGGGCTATTCGCTAATTGAAAGAGGAATTGTCAAAAAGCGATCTGGTTATCGCGGAGTACCCATCAAGTACCAACATCTTATTCAGGCTAACGAGAAATAGAGTTATTTTTCCAGCCTCAGGATTAGCTTTCAGCGCGTATTTGTAACTATTTCCAGAAAACCGATGGATTTGTCTTTT